AGTGTTCTAGATGCAGAAAAACCCAGAGGAAACTAGTTTATTCAGATCATAGTTTACAATAAAAAGAATATGTTGCCATATTGATCCAAAATATATACAGATGTTTTTATAGAGAAAAACTCAAATGTTTTCATGACCTGCAGGCACCTTAAATACTTTTTAATTTTTAATTTTTCAGTTTTCCATTTAGCAACAAAATCTATAAATGAAATATATTGCTACTTCTTTTTATGTTGTATTCATTTAATTTTGAAGGATTTTGATGTTTATTAGGTATTACATGTTTTTACATACATAACTATGTCATAATTGACGAATTATATGATATATCTCGATTTTTGTATAATGGCTCGCCTTGCTTCAATAAGGCGAGCACCTCGCGTCACGCCTCACGCTATGGTAAATAGGTAGCTTGTCGCCTCGGCTTGCTACACGCCTTTTTAATCACTGTATATATGTAAATGTGCTTTATTCCTAAGCTATGACTTGTTGAAGAGGGGTGTTTGCCCAAACTTATCCGGAAGATATCAAAGTTTTGTTATCTGATAAGTTGTTAAGGCTTATTTCAGAAATAAGTTGTTGAATTCTTTGTAAAAGAAATGTTTGAGCTTACAATGTCTTAAATGATTAAAAATTAAGAGTTGGTACATTTCTTTTAGGAAATCATGAGCTCATAAAGTGCTAATTTTTGTGACACTTGAGCTCTTCTGGAAAATGTTTGTCTAAGACTATTTGTAAGTGTCAGCTTTTGAACATCTTATAAGACATTAAAGAGATTATAAGCTCTCCCAAACAACCATTAACTTTCCTCTAGCCTTGTTTGTAACGTACGACTGCTACTATGGATTATGTTTAAACTAGTTTCATTGATGGATTACCTGCTATACATTGTTCTGTTGATTGAAGATGAAAAAAGGAACTATTATAGAAGAGATACTTGAGTAAGCTACTTTTGCAACATTAATTATCAGACGATGAATAGACAAATGCGTGCTCCATGTTATCATATTTTTTCCCTCAAGTCTACAAAAACATTTTTGATTATTTTTATTTTTATGCTCAACTTAGATTACTTTACTTTGTTAAGATCTGAGAAGTTGAATCTGTCTGAAACTCGTGCAGCACTTGTTGAGAGTTTAACTGCAAAAGTAAAAGCCTGGGAACTAGAGAAAGGAATGCCATTTCTGTATAACAAGGTAATGTGGCTGAAAGGCATTTCATCATTTGGCATTCTGTATCCGTTAGTCTTTGAGGTTCAACTTCCCTTCTTACAGACTCCTTTATTGCGGACGTTGGAGGAATTCACCATCTCCCGACAAGAAAAAGAAGAGGAAAAACGCCGATCTCGAGTATGTTGTTTGCATTAGCTTTGTTACATTGTTTTGTGTGTATCCTTAGTAATATTATTTAATGCGGGATAATTTTTTAGGAACAAAAAAAGCTTCAAGATCAATTAGCTGCAGAACAAGAAGCAATGTTTGGTTCGAAGCCGAATGTCAAAAAACCTCTGGTTCAGAACACAAATGCTAATACAATGGTCGCAACACCAAACAGTAGACGTGTTGGGACTCCCTGGACTCGACCGACAAAGGATAGAAGAGAGAGTGGTAGAGTGGGTACTGTTATTCCCATAAACTATGTGGCTCTTCAGAAAGAGGATAGAGGTGCTTAGATCCTTAGACAAGAGAGTTACGAGGTTCACCTGCAGCTACTTAGTTTTGCTCTTAACACAAATTAGAAGTTACTAAACCAGTCTCACCTCCAGATACTCGCATGGGTCATTCTATTCTGATGTAATGGAACACTTTTTTTTTTTTTTTTTTTTTTTCCTTAGACTTTGAATTAAAATTTGTTAAGTAGTATTTTTCCTGGAAATATCTTGCTAATGTGTTAACAATTTGTTAACTCGGCTAGTCAACTTGTGAATATTGTGCGCAACGGAAGTTTGTATTGTAGAATCAAGTGACGTGTGTGTGTGGTTGGCATGTTGTGGGTTGGTGGTCCGATCAGATTTAATCGACTTGCGACATTTATGTCATACATCATGAATGTTAGCAAAAATCTTAAAGTGCTTTTTTTTTTCGGAACTTTAGGAATCACTTATATTAACAACACAAACGAGGCTAGAGAACAGCTGTCCAGCAGAATTTACAGTCGTGTCCGATAGTTTGATGATATCACCGAGATGAGTTCATGAAGGATTATTATATTAAATTTAGCTAGTGGAATTTATTCTGACATAATAATAATGGTATAAGTGGTATTAGTCTCGGTTATAGATCTTGATTAATTTAATTATCAGTAATTAAATTAATTGATGAATATTATATCTTAAACATGGGAGATAAATCAAGTTATTTTTATTGGAGCCTCGAATATAACTCGAGAATTAAATTGAGAGTTTATTCAATAATAGTACTTTAGTGGAATTTATATATTATTCTATTTGGGTTTGGTAGGCTTGGCATATAGTATAATCCTAATAGGAGAAGCCATATTTACTACCTCCTTAGTGTCCCTGTTATAGCCTATTAAATACATCACAACTCTTGGAATTAGGAGATAGATAATTCACACGCCTATTACACGTGAGAGAGAAAAATCGGCTGCTCCCTTTTGTTCTATTCTTTTGTGTTCTCTTCTTCTTCTCCAAGTAATCACAGTAAAGATATCTCCGATTTTATCACCTACCAAGATGATCGGAGAGGACGTCGAGTCATACAACAAAAGATCTAAGGTGATCGAACGATTTATATATCTTTATCTAACCCCGTAATATATATATATATATATACTCAACCCCATAATGTTTTTGTAATTCGCGGGGTTGTCGTTCTTCACAAAAAGTGAAAAACACATCAAATGGATGTATTGGAATTGTCCGGCGACCCTCATGTCGCTCTCCGGCGACGACCGGCCAAGGCGGCTGGGCAGGCAAGCTCCGGCAAGCCAAAGCCGCGCACAGGCGCTGGTCAGCGGCTGCTGGGCTCGCAGCCAGGGCGCACAAGCCATTCACGCGCAGCCTAGGTGTCAGGGGTCCATCGCAGCCTGTCAGCGTGAGGCCAGACGTAGCACGCAGAGCCCACGCGCGGCCCACGTCTTGCCCACTCGCAGCCCGCGTCTTCCCTCTCTTCTAGCCCGGATCCAAGCCCGCATCCAGCCCACCTTGATCCAGCCCAACAGCGCGGCCCAGATGAGTGCGTGCGGCCCAGTTGCATCATCCAAGCGTGGCCCAACATTAGAACATCCTCCCAGCGACCCAGATCGCACCAGACCCGGCCCAGCTCGCTCTAGGCGTTCTAGGGGCAGTTTAGCTGGTTCGGCGAGCTCCAATGAGTCTGCGAGAGGTCCGGGACGATCCGTCATGGTCGGTGAACAATCTGGTGATTAGCAGGACAAGTCTGGCTGCCTAACAGACTCTATGTTTCAGACGATCTCCAACAACGAAAATTAGAAATGTCTCAGAGTCGACAAAATATTAAATGGTATGCGTTGAACCCTCTCTTCTAGTTCTACTGCGCTTAGGGTTTAATTTGTAAATAGTCCGTGACTTGCATAATTTTGAGATCCTAACCTGTCCCAACACTAGGTTGATTCAGGCTAGAGGTGGTTACGAGTATTTTGTCTCATTCATTGATGATTACTCGAGATTTGCGTACACTTACCTGTTGCACTGCATGTCCGAATGCTTTGAGAAGTTCAAGGAGTATCAGGCAGTTTTGAAAAAGCTTCATGGTAAAAGTATCAAGTCGCTTCAATTTGATTGAGGTGACGAATACAATACCTCTTTGGAGAGTTCAGGACATACTTATCGAAGCTGGGATTGAATCCCCAATTGACTGCATCCGACATGCCCCAGCAAAACGGGGTTGCAGAGCAAAGAAATAGGACTTTTATGGAGATGTTTAGGTCACTGATTAGTTATTCGAGACTACCAGATTCATTTTGATGAATGACACTGGAAACAACTTCGTACATTCTGAACTTGGTTCAATCGAAGTCAGTAGACACTACCTCTATGTACTTTTATCATGCACTTGAAGTATTTTTTTTTTTTTTTTT